AACTGTCTTGACATAAAGTCTCAATCATAAGACGGCTATGACAAGTTGTCCTGAAAACATCAATTTAAAGATACCTAGTAGCCCATATCATATACCTCAAATTCTCACTTCCCAAATTTACGTTAAAATAGCTTTAACACGTCATTGCTAGCTTATTCTCAAGAGACGTTTAAATCATTTTAAGCACATTTATTGTAGTTTGAGCTCAGAAATAAAGTGTAGCTTTTCAGTAATCACATTTGTTAATAGATCCATATCCATTGAAGTCAACTATTTCATTTTTTTGTAATTCTGGAAGTTCAAATTGTATACAGTTTGATTGTCAATTACAAGCCAGTTAATCATTTCTAAAAAGAAATTTCCACCACAGTAAATCATGCATCTTGTTAGGATAACCACCCGGACATCGTGCTTAATTTAACTGCATTTATGACTTATCACGGGTTATATCTTACAACTAACCAAAACGCGCAGACAACCCTGAGCAACCAACACACTGCAAGTACGAGGAAGACTGATACACTATTCCTGAAGGTCGACTCAATACTAACTAAGCCAGAACGAAGAGCATGAATACGTGACCAGAGTTCACCAGTCCAAGATCGTTAGCATATTTCAGACATTCATTTAAATACACACAAGATCAGGTCTCAGAACATACCAATTAAATAACAATACTGACACGGAACAACAACAATAATCATGGGATAACGGAATACTGGAAACACAAATAATCAGTTCTAGGTTATGAGTGGAAAATGCTATAGCAATAATTCACCGTTCAAATAAAAGCTTAGATTTAAAATGACACGAAAACAATAAAGCCAAAATACTTAATAAATATGTAATATATATATATATATATATATATATATATATATATATATATATATATATCAATAAAATCGTGGAAGTTTCGACGTGATAGTTAAATTGTGTATCACGACACATCCCGTTTTGAAAATCATTGTTAAGGCCTGTCATTTGAGTTCATTTTGATCCTGGTTGGTTTTCTTCGAATCCATAGTAATGGTCTTAAGGGTGGCTATAATCATTTATCCAGTGTTCTTGTTCATCGATCAACCAACATATTCAGAGACATGGATTTTTGTATTGACATCGTCCCTTTCTTCTCGTCTATATGGTCGTATGTGGTTGGCCTGTATTATCCATTTCATATTGTTAACACTGACTTCATAAATTATTCCCCTTCTGCTGAGTGGGATAATTCCATGAAACCAATCCGTCTTTAGCAGTGAAAATAAGGTACCATAACCGGTTGTCCTGGGCAGAATCTCCCGGGCTATCACTAACTTCTCTTGTTGTACAGTTTCTCCATTTTTGAGTTTCGCTAAGTAGTCGTCGCAACATGTGGCTTCAAATAGTTTGTCGGTATTTGAGCTTTTCTTCAAAGCATTGCTTCTGACTGAGAAACCATACCAGCTGTTGTAGGATTCGGTGTTGCTCGGTAAGCAAGCAAAGACGTCCGTAATATTTTTTGAATCTTACCTCCTCCCTGAGCTTTTCGGAATGCACTCTTATAAGTATCGACAAACCGCTCAACCTAACCGCTTAGGTGCGAGTGACGTGGAGGAGTCTTGACATGTTTAAATTCCAAAAAATATAAATTAATAGGATTAATCCAATTAAGTCCAGAACTCTAACAATGAACAATTAGGAACTAAAATTCGAAGTACGCAATTTGACATTGTATTGTATTATTAAAATGTTTAAGTGTACATTAAGTGTGTTGGTTATTCACCCCAATGTCGTTCAGAACTCAGAAATGATGAAATTCTACAGATGAAGATTATGAATCATTGTCAGAGACTGTCACTGCCGGAAACGCGAAACAACTAAATATTTGACGTAGTTTATTTAATGTCATCTTAGTTGATGTAGATTACATACAATGTACTTCCGAACATTTGGTAAATGCGTCCATGTTTGTCATTAATGGGCTCTGCAAGATCCAAGTGCACCCTCGACCGTCGATTTGTCGTTATTCCCCAGCAGAGAAGTTTAGTTTAGCAAAGAGCTTTGGCAAATTGAGCAAATTTGGAGCGTTTTGATATATAATCTTATTTCGGCATCAGTTTTTGACCAGTATATATAAATTCTGACCAATACTTTCATCCGGACAATACCTGGATATGAAGAGTGAAGTTGTGATAGAACTTTACGACGCGAACATATGGTACGACTAGACGGTCTCCAAAATAAGGAAATTTATCCACAACACATTGAGTTACGTCGCTGAAAATATCCTCGTCTATTTGCATTTAACTGTAGGAAACAGCCATATAAGAAATAACGAATAATGATCTGAAGCTTACTAACTGTTTTTTGTACTGCAATTTCTACTGTCTGGTTAATATGTGATCCCAGTAATACAACGGCGATGACAATATTTTCATTTTCGAACTTCTGCTTCTCAATTTATCTGGGTAGAGTACTGGCTGGACCAAACTTTGTCGTATATTTATGATTAATTTTAAAGACATGGGCGAATTATATAACTGCCCAAAGTTGAGAAAGATTAGCAGTATACACCAGGATACAGGACTTTGATTCAAAAACAAAGGGTTTTCGGTCTGTAAACAATGTAAAATGATACCCATAAATCATTTTCTGCAATTTTTGGTAGTGAACATCAAACTCAACTCGTCCTTTTCTATCTGACAATAATTTCGTTCTGTCACATTTGGAGAGCTTGGAGGATGAGCTATAAGTTTTTCCCTACAATCTGGAAAACAATAGCTGATAAAAGCACCAGCATCATAATTAAAAGCATCAGTGGCAATAATTTTTTCCAGTTTTGGGTTATAATGAGCCAGTAATAAATAAAATTTAACGGGAGGCGCAGTGTCCGTATAGTCGGAAAAAATACGCTATATTATCAAATTATGCCCAAAAGTGGTCGTAATGTCATTAAATCAGTCAGTAGAGGCATTTGTTTAATGCGATGTATATTACCCGGATCCAGTCGACGACCATGCTTATCGAATATAAATCCAGGACAATTAACGGATTCAGGAAATGGTTCACATTAACGTTTTGCGGTTGAAAACCAGACTCCTATACTCTTATATGTAGTTTATCCAAATGGGACGATAATTCTTCTTTAGAGGAGCCTAAATCAGTAATATCATACAAGTATGCTTCAACATCATCGAGATTCAATATCGCGGTATTCATTAACTGTCGAAAAATTTGTAATAAGAAAACAATCAAGTACATGGGAAGCATCAGTTCACATAAATATCACATCCGTCACAGTTTAAACCGGTATCTAGATTTCTGTAGTCAATTAGGTCCGCCATTTGTCTTTCCGACTGTGTATTGGATATGGACTATGTATGATCTACAATGTGCTCGATAGTATTGGAATTAACAGTGGAAATTGGAACAGTCTCATCCGGTTCCTGGGATTGTATTTGACCAGCATGTCAGTTGTACGTATTGAAATCATTGATGTCTGGAATTTAAACGATAGATTTTCCAATACTATCCTCCCCCCAATATAATGTTGGATCTTCATGTCTCCAAGTTGCAAATAATGTTGCTCCACTTGGAACACATTACTCAGATTAACTAGAGGATCCATTAGAAGTGACTCCATGTTGAGGATAAACAACACTTGACATGAAATCATCCGAACTGTTATTAGGTTTGAATTTAATTTGAACTTGATCACATTGACTTCCTTCTACGAAAAAACTAATTAAAAGAATTTTATAGAAGTTGGACTTAGCGAACCCTTTCAAAATTTTGTCAACCTGGAGGTTGGACCATTAAGAAGGTCGCTTGATTACGAACTGTTTAAAACCATAAATATCCTGAATCTTGTTCGGCTCATCATGATGTCCACCAATTATTATTTATAACATCAACCTTCTTTCCTCAACTTGCTCATATTGATAATGTAAGTCAAATTAGGCACCTCCTGTATGTTTCATTATCTGTACTTCTCCCACTGCTCAGTTAATGTTTAATATCTGTCATTTTGGACCGCATGATGGAGGAAGACTAAGGCAAGGAATCAACGAGAACAGATTATTTTGGGACCACTTCAGACATTGTTACAGGAACACGTTATTCCGATGTTTTACTTATTATGCCTAATTTCGACGAAATGATAATCTATGGTGATGATGCCGAAAGATTATCAGAAGTGGAGGAAAGAGCGCTGATAGACATACATAAATATTTGACGGGCTTGCTAAGATGTCTAAGCCGACCAGGAGTGTCAATAATTTCAATAAAGTGGAAGCTTCAGTGACTTATTTCTTTCTCACAACAGTCTTGGGGCAATCACAGTTCATGACCTTAAAACCGCAGATAACTGCTTTTCGTGTAAGGTTAGAGTATTTAAAACCTCATTAAGTTGGATGGTAGCTTTGATATCCTGGAAAGAGCATAGAGAACTTGCTACCCATGTGGTCCTGGAACTCCAAGACTTGTCATGCACAAGGAGGCTAGAAAAGTTAGATCACTTTACAGTGACCTACCTCAGATTTGTGTTATGACGTACTAAGTCAAAATAACTCACGAAGGATATCAGATAAGCTTAAGTGGAGTGTGAAATAAATCCTATCGGTAATAGGTTTAATAGCCTATCACTGAACTCTTGGAACATATTACTAGAAGAAATTGTGTCCTCGTCTGCAAATGATTAGACACTTATCGGAGCTTGCTAGGGACTTACCTATATAATTAGCCATCTGTTCCCAACAAACAAGTCTGGGTTATAGTGCTCTTTTTTTGAAGAACTGTTATGTAACCTACTGAAGTAATGGATTTTGAAGTGACAAAAGCTACTCCTTTTTTTTCATTTGAGTACTTAATTTAATATAGAGAATACTCATAACACAAAGAACCACGGGCATCATATATATGTTTTTTCAAAGCTTGTATTCAGAAGTTTTAGAATTTTACTTGACATAATATATTCATTTGGTTGAACTTGAGTCATTGCTAATTTGTTCGTAAAGCTGAAACTTTGCGGGTGCCTTGAGTTTGGCCTTACGCGCCTGATTTGTCTCCGTACTCTGCGTCTTATGCCTTTTGTCCTGCATTTCATGTCTTCTGTCGTTATAACCAATAGTATACACAAATCTAAAAGTTCATTTTACTTACAAATCAGGTATGCATATCAAGAAGAGACTTCGCCGCTACATAAGTAACATAATAAGCTTTACTAATTCACACACTCGAAACACGCTTCGTGATCGATCTGCTGATTTTTATGGTGAGATATTTTGAATAATGATTTCGATTCTTTACTTGGATTTAAGAATTGTCATGTGTTTACTTGGTCTAAATCGCTTTTCATGTGCTTCAACTTCTTAGTTCTGGTGTACACTACATGTGTACGTACTGTGTTCATCAATGGGTTTGCAGGTCAAGCTAAAGAAAATAACGCAACCCAGCAATAATTTAGTTTTAGGGCACTGAGTGTCTTTTTGTAAAAGATATTAATATTTGCAGATTCACTTTGAAAGACGTGGAACTGTATCCGTTTGGGAAGCTTACGGAAGGAATACGTCTGTTTTGTTTAGGTGCCTAAGTTGCATTGACGGAATAACTGATCTTAAACCAAGGAGAATCGGGAGTTTAGGCATGGACAAAATGGGTGTTCCGTAGCATATGTATGTATCCTGCAAGCAAGTCGCGGGACTATGCTTGATGGGTGATCCAATAATATGAGATAGAGACTAAGATTTTTTGCATGAAATTTATTCTTCCATATAGCTATATAGGATTTCAGCTATGTAGTTGATGTCAGTTTGTGCGTGAAAACTCTAGCTTTTAGCTGTAATTTTTTATCTTGATCCCTTACACTGATAAGCTCACTTGTGGAATTTCAGACCCATACAAGGTCACTCTGGTTCTGTTCGAAAGTCGTTCATAAATCTTGGTCTCTCCACTATCGGGTCTGTCGAATATCTTATTAAATGGGAACAAAAGACAACTATTGCCTAGCTTTGATACCTTTCTATTCCCATACGTCGCTGTTCGTAATCAGTCCATTCTGTAAATTGATTCATATCTAAACTATTCTTGGTCCCCTGTGTTCGCAAACTTCTGTTAGAATGTGTAGGTCACGACAAAAGAGAATGTCGCTGATCTATCAAGCACATGTTTGTTTACCTGCTTCGGTTTGAGCTCTCGGGCAATATTCCAGCCGTCACACATCCAATGATTTGTGTGGCGCATACGTATTTGGTGCTTTCTTGTACTAATGTTTATGTGTTTAGGTAAATAAATAAATGCTTGTCCACTCTACTATGAGCCACATGTTTGTGTAAGAATGATTCATCGGTCTTATTACCATCTGATTACCACATTACACAGTTGAATAATATCTATGATATTATTTATAGCAGATACTTTTAATGGTGTTATCTATTTTAATCCGAATTTATTTACACACCTTTCTTCACCTTTTTGGGAATTAGCAAATGAAGTTACAGATGAATTGGTTGATCTCATGCGTAAAGTTTGGCTTCCGATTGTTGGTCCTGGTTATGAAATCATAGTAAGTGTATGTGCTTTTTCAAGTCTACTTTGTTGATTGTTAAACATATCCAAGTTACATTTTAATGTCCTAGTCTGTAAGCCAAGTCGAAATGAAAAACGCTTAGATGGGTCTTATAGTATTCCAGACTAAGGAACAGATAACAATGACCCTGCGCTGAGATTTTTCTCAGATAAACGATTAATTCTTGGAAGTACAAGTTTCAAAGAAAAGGGGAGATATTCTTAACCTAGCGACCCAAATATAAATACAATGATAAACACAAATAGATTATATCCCTATCAGCTATCGTTCAAACAGATCAATAGGAGGCTGCTGCTCCTTCTGGAGCACATGTTCGGATTCCGACCATACCCTAGTGTGCGGACGCATTTCCAGACGTTCTACTGAACGTAAAGTCATACCAGAAAGAAGACTCCGTACGTATTAACTCGAAGCTGGAAAGGTCAATAACACATTTTTGAAAGCGGTGACTCGATGGTTGAGGCTTTCAACTCCTAGTCACTAGGTCCTAGGTTCGATCATCACCTAACATACCTCGGTTTGGGCGACCGAGTACTATCACCAACCCTCACAATTAGAGGGTGAATTAATTTAATTTCAATTCAGGGGAAAATTAACTAAACAATCAGCCGATCGTAAATGTAATCTTATCTGAATGGTCTCATTTGCTGGTCGTCCCAATTTATGAAAATGTAGACGTAGACGTGTAGACTAAATATTCACTCTTCAGATTTTAAAATATGGACGTGCTTACCATCGTCTAACTATAGTTTTATTTCTCGACTTCGAGGCAGCATTCGCTTCTATTAACCTAAAGGTTCTGTGCTAATTTTTATCATTGAGAGACGTACCAAAGAAGTACATAAACATTGTACCAGTTTCCTACTCCAGTACTATTGATCGAGTCAGAGGTCGTGGCTAACTGTTGTGTTTACGGAGTGCTTAACTAACTTATGCTTTGTACTAAAACCTCGAATCTAATGGCTCATAGTAAGGACGCAAAGACTGGTGGTATAGATCCTTTTTGACCCACAAATAAATAAAATTGATACCTGAAAACACTGCTTAGTATACGATTTATTTACACTCAGATTCGCATCCGTATTTCTATAATTGGAAGTGAGTAGTACTTGACATCATTTCATCAATGATTTTCCATATGAATATTTGTAATGTAGTGATAAAACTTCACACTGGCTAAATTTTGCTATTTCGGTCCTATCATATCAAATTGTCAACCTCAAGTGGTGTATATCAGGAATGTCCGCTGTCCCCTTTTTTACTTAACTTCGTCACAGGTGTTCTACTAGAAGTAACACTTTCTTTTAAAGGGTTAGTTTCCCAGGAACCTTACTTATCGACTTCGAATACACGGATAACATGGTCTAGCATCAAAAAGGCTTGTATACTGCGCATCAGTTCACTTGATATTACTTTATGTATGTTAAATATGAGAGTAAAATATGTGCTTAGGCTACAGGCTTTTTATCAAACTTGCTTTTTCTCTCCTTTCCAATTGCTATTCATTCTCTTGATATCTTCTTCCAATCCCCTCCACAATGTGTTCCTTGGTCCCGACCGAAGCTGCTACCTTGACGCGGTGGTCGGGCTTGCCTATCGTGATGACCCAACCGAGCTATATTGGCTGGAACATATGTTCCTGTAGGTTCTACCATGCCAGGCAGGTCGATTGGTAAACGGTAAGACTAAAAGCAGCAACTCAAGGTCTGAAGGCGAAGTCGTACTGCTGACTGTAGAGAGGTGTGACAGCAATAAGGTGTTTCCTTCGGACAACCAGCATGACAGCGATGCTGCCTTCCCACAAGGAGGGGTGGGGTTAGAAAAGGTCGACCCTAAAAATGTCACACCTCACCTTACCTCACGGATCTCCGCCTCCGGCGGTAAGGCCCTTTGAAGAACGGAGCTAACACGTCAAAAACCCCCCACGAAAAGGCCGTGCGCGACCGGCCTCAAGCAGTTGTCCCTTGGGCTCTGCGGTCACGCTCCCAGGTCGTTAAGACCAACACTAATCCAATTTCCTTTTCAGGTTCCTCAAGAAATACCCTTCCACGGTGTGGGCAGCCCGGAAGTGACATCAGCCCTCATACCCGTAACAGCACACGAGACCAAGTTGGTCACATTCAAATCCTTCCTACACCTAATACCTCTCTTATCTCCATGACTAACCCTCCTCACATCTCTTTATCACCTCGCACCGCTAGAGCAAACGATTCGAGTACGTGGAACGCTATTCCTGGTCTCCTGAAACCACGCTCTAAACTACACGTAGGAGCTTTTAACGTCCGAACACTGTGCCAAATAGGACAGCAGGCTTCCTTAGCTAGGACTTTAAAATCTCGCGCCATCGATGTGTGCTGCGTCTCCGAAACGCTCATACAAGGTCTAAGTAGCGTCATTCATTTGACCTCACCCTGCCAAAATAAAGAACCGACTCGATTTACGCTTCGTGTATCTGGAAGCCCTGATTCTGCTTCCCGTGGCCTCGCCGGCGTAGGTATAGCATTGAGTCCTAGGGCAGAACTAGCTCTCTTCGACTGGATCTCAGTAGACAGTCGTTTGTGCGGCGTCCGACTGAATGGAACAATAAGGATCCGAAAAGATAGGGACACTCGTCGTTGCCTCTTCGTCGTCTCTGCCTATTCTCCCACTGACTGCAGCTCAGATGATGTAAAAGATGAGTTTTACAGAAAGCTTTCGGACCTTCTCCGAAAAGCTAAGCGCTCTGGTGTTTTAATAGTGGCCGGTAACTTTAATGCTCAAGTAGGTAAGCTAACCGAAAGGGAAAGACACCTGAGTGGATTCTATGGTTTTGTGGCTCAAAGAACAGATAATGGCGACCGTCTGTTGCAGCTATGCTCAGATAACCGCCTGTTTCTTGCAAATACTAACTTTAAGGATAAGGAAAACATCTTTTAACATGGCGACCCCCTAATTCGTCCCAACGTTGGACCCAAATAGATCACATCGCTATCAGCCACCGATGGAGGGGCTCGATAGAAGACTGTCGCTCATTCTGGAGCACATGCTTTGATTCAGATCATGCTCTAGTGCGAGCGCGTATTTGCTTGCGTCTTACTGGACGTAAGAAAGACGCTGCAAGGAAACCTCTTAGGTCCCTACTTAATGATAGTCAAGCTAAGATTATATTTCAGGAACAACTAGGAAAACAGTTAGGCAGCCATGTATGTGATGCCCACCCCGAGGCAGCATGGAATGATATCCGAAAAGCTGTGGAAACAGCAGTGATATCTGCTAGTAAAGTAAACCAGAAGGTTAGGGAGCAACACTGGATCTCAGCAGCATCTATCGCACTGATAGATGACCGGAAACTCATTCCACCTGGCTCTGAACATAATGAAGATCGGAGTCAGCTTAAGCGCAAGCTGACAAAAAGTCTACGCAATGATCGCGAACAGTGGTGGGTAGCGAAAGCAAGAGAGATGGAAAAGGCAGCGGCAATAGGTATTAGCAGACAATTGTTCAGACTTGTTAAGGAAACCGGAATTAGGAACCCGACCGTTAGCGAAACAATCTCAGAGAAAGATGGACATATTATTCATTCTCAATCCAGGAGATTGGATCGATGGGCAGAACACTTTAGGGATCAGTTCAACTGGCCTTCAGCCACACTTCGGTTTCCCACGATCTCTAGTCAACCTGCATGGCAAGTTAATGTAGGTCCTCCGTCCCTTTACGAAGTTGAAAAAGCCATAGGAAATCTGAAACGAGGGAAAGCAGCAGGCCCTGACAGGTTTACTCCTGAAATTTTTAAGGATGGTGGTCCAGTATTAGCAATGAGATTAACCGAGGTCTTAGGTAGAATTTGGGAACTGGACGTAATCCCATCTGACTGGTCTCAATCACTGATTGTGCCAGTCTATAAGAAAGGACAAAAGTCCTCCTGTGACAATCACAGAGGAATCAGTTTGACTAATATAGTGTTTAAAATATTAGCTTCAATAATACTTCGACGCCTAATCAAAGCTCGTGAAGAGCAGACTAGAGAAAACCAGGCTGGTTTTCGACCTGGACGTGGTTGTATAGATCAGATATTCACACTACGTCAGGTTCTAGAACACAGACACACATTCAGACGCCCCACATTGGTAGTATTTCTCGACCTTAAGGCGTCATTTATGGCGTAGGCGAAATATCCGTCTATCAACCAAAGGACGGGTTTACTGCGCAGCAGTTCGTTCCGTCCTTCTTTATGGCAGTGAAACATGGCCGGTAAGAGTAGAGGATATTCGTAGGCTACTAGTATTTGATCATAGGTGTCTTCGAAATATTGCTCGTATATCCTGGGACCACTGAGTACGGGATGCAGTTGTTAGGTATCGGGTACTAGGTAAGAATGGCAAATCAATTGAAGTGGTGAAACTTCATCAGTTGAGATGGCTGGGACACGTGTTACGTATGCCCAACAACTGACTACCCCGATGTGCGATGTTTTATGGTGTAGGAGTAGGTTGGAAGAAAGCTAGGGGCGGCTGGACCAAAACATGGCACAAGTCCATGAAGTCACTGACAAGTGGACTGAGCCATGTTGGTAGGTGTAGACTACCTGGTTGGGGTCCGCGAGATGATAGCAACTGATGGTTAGAGACCCTGAATGACATGGCTCAAAATCGTTTGCAATGGCGCAGGTGCATCCACTCTCTGTGTTCTCCCAAATTCTAATCTTCTGAATTCTTCATGTCCCTTTTTTCCTCTTTCCAAATTTATTTCACTGGATTATACTCCTTGAATAACATCTCCAAACACTAATCTTCTAGATTACTGCTTATACTCTTATTACGTCTACCACTACGGGATTTGAATCGACAACTGAATCTCTGTGCTAATGTGGTGTGGCAACTCGAACTGATGTACGTACGTACGAAGTTCTACGTTGTTACTGACTGACTGACTGTGTTCCTTGGTCTTCCTTTTTGCCTTTCTCTCTTCAGGATTCCAAGCTAGTGCTTGCCTTGCGATGAAGTTTGGTGATTTCGGCAATGTTTGTCTTATCCACCCCCAACGTCTTTTCCTAATTTCCTCTTCAGCTGGAACTTGTTTTGTTCTCTCCGACAGTAGGTTTTTGCTGATGGTACCTGGACAACGGACATTGAGTATCTTGCGTAAACAACTGTTTATAACTACTTGTACATTCTCGATGATGGTTGTAGTAGTTCTCCAAGTTGCAGCTCCGTGCGATAGAGCTGTCTTGACGTTTGTGTTAAAGATCCTGACTTGTTTTGAGTTCCATATATTCATCAGTTGTAGGAATGCGACCCTTGCTTTGCCAATTCTCGCCTTTACGTCTCTTGTGTGTTGAGACCTACTGCTGCAGAGACTGATGCTGCACTGACTGCCTTTACCTGCATTGGTAGGTGTTTATGGGATAGAAAAACTAGGTCATCTGCGAGATTCAGGATCTAAAGTATCCGTGCTCTGCTTGATATATGGAGGTCTTCATAATCCAGTCGGCCACCAGAAAGGCGACAGTAGATAGCTTTGTCTGATACTAGTCTTCACTTAGATTACGTACGTGAGCTGACCTATATACACGATTTGTAGTGTGATCTGTCGTAAGAATTCCGTACGATGGTGAAAATTTTCTCAGGTACACCGTAGTGTCGAAGAAGTTTCCACAAGATTCTCCTATCCACACTATCAAATGCTTTACCATAGTTAGGAAGATTGATATATGGTAACCAGTTCTATTCACTTGATTGTTCAACAATGATCAATAGTGTCGCGATGTGGTCTGTAAACTATCGATCCTTACGGAATCCGGCCTGTTGTTCTCGGAGTTGAGAGTCCACTGAATCTTTCGTCTGGTTCAACAACACTGTTGAAAACTTTTCCTGATACTGATAGTAGTGTGGTAGCTCTGTAGTTCTCACACTTACTGAGTCACCTTTCTCTGCTACTTTGATGAGGTATCCCACTTTCCAGTCTATCGGCACTTGTTCATCCTCCTAAATCCTCTTGAATAGGATGTGTAACAGGTTTGCAGTTCCTTCTATGTCTGACGTCAGTGCTTCAGCTTGTATGTTGTCTGATGCTGCTGGTTCTCCACTGTTGATTTGTCTGGTGGCTATGCTGATTTTTCCTATTGTTTGTGGGTTGACATCTATAGAGAGGTTTGTGTATGCTGCTTCGATGTCTAGTGGTTTCAGTGAGTCTGGTCTATTTAAGAGTTCTTCAAAGTGTTTTACCCACCTGATCCGCTGTTCTCGATCGTCAGTGATTGGTTCCCTATCTTGGATAATGCTCCTTCACTCTCTCATTTGCTTCTGTGTTCGGTTTGTGCCTCGTCTTTCTTTGTTCTTGTTTGTTTGTGATTGATTGCTGTTTTCTTGTTCGTAATTTCTTGAATTTTGCCACGGGGTATCAACAGGGATCCATTTTTCTTGAAAAGCAAACCGCCAAAGTCTTTGGAAAATAATCCTTAATAAAATTATCTGTTAAGATTATTTCGACCACGAAAGAGACTAGACTGTTACAAATTTCTTATGAATACAAAGACATGGATCGTTTGGTTGAATCCTTATGGCTCCTTATATGTAAGCAACAAGATCAAACGCTATATGAAAAACTAGTAGGTATTGGATAAATTAATGTCAATGATTTGTTCTTATCTACTTTCATCTATATTAGGTTTTACATATTCATAAATCTCGCGGAACATCAAATTTGGGCATAAGCATTGAAGGTGTGACCTATGTGGCAGAACCAGATTTCGATCATGAAAATTTATCATCTACAACGGTTACAACTAATAGTCAAATTGAAGATAAATCTAATTCAAGTAGTAAACTGTTACCAAATGGTATGGCAAGATCTGCTCATTCAAATGATATCAAGTATAGTGATATGCCATCACGCCATTTCGTCCAATATATTGTACCTGATGGTCTGGTCGGTAGTTTGGGTGTTGTGCAAAAGGGTGATGAGTTACTTCAGGTAAGAACATACCTATTTTCGAGGGAAAAATCGCGGTTGGTTTTTGAGTACCGGGTTTAAGAATTACTGTGTAGTGTAATAGCCTAAAGCCGCCAATCAGAAGCAGCGAATTATCGATCGGACTAAGGACGCGTAAACACGTGAGAGCAGCCTAGAGTTCTGATTGGCCCTGCTTTCTGTCTAGCCCAGCCAACTAAATCCAGAACACCAACCCGAGCCTCTGCGATATGAATTGTGTATTTCAAACATACTCTGTTTATATACCAATCAAGCAGACCACATTGTACCATAAAATAGAAAATAACATTTGTACAAGATTTGGCCAAATGTGGCTGTGAATGTGGGAGGCAGTGACTAATAGACAGGGAATAATTCAAGAATGGAAAATCGCATAATAACAGTTCATAGGTTAAAATAAAGCTTATGATAAGAGAGACATGAATATGAATAGTTAACTAACCATTATACGATAAAAATAAACGTATAGTATTGGTCCACAAATAGATCCCAAAAAATTACCACTCATTATTCTTATTGGGACACAACAATAGTCAGTGATGTCATGTCATCGACTTGTAGAAGGCCTGAAAAATTATATAGTTTCATCTTGTTACCCATAATTAGTCTTGTGTTCTTTAGCTTCTGGAACTCACATTTCACCCTATTTGGAATTTGTGAGCTGGATGTACGTATTCCTTATTGTACGCTTAGCGTCTATTCTCATCTGTACGTTAAAAATCATACACCGTATCTACGCAATTAGGAAAAGCGTCTGACTTCATTTCACGAGTTTATTCTTAATGTATCGACCACATTTGTTAGCTTGCAAAACATTTTTTATTTTGTATTAGTGATATTTGTGTTATCCACTTCGTCTACATGATTCGTTTATCAGTGACTATCGGTTCTAAGTCATTTAGTTTATCAGTATAACGGTTTGCGGTGATTGCAGTATTTTCCCAGTTGAAGTCACGGGCCGATCTAAGCTAGACCACTACTGAAAACCTAAAAGCACTAGCATAGGACTCCTCAGCAGTGCTCGTCCACAATCTTGCATGCGGGACCCAGGGCCTTCGATCTCGTGCTCAAACAGTTAACTTCTAGACCACTGTACCAGCATCTTACAGTGTTAATGTCCAACATTAGTCAATCCATGATCTTGCGCAAACTTCCATCCATTGCCTGAGGTGGATATCTGTCTCGCATCCGACACGGATTGGACTTGGTCACGACTTTTCACCAAAACTCCATGTAGTTTATTAATTTATTTTGTGAATTAATTCGAAGATCGTGCGACCTTGGTAACATCTTTGATCATAATGTTTAGCAAATGCAGGCTGATGAAACAGTATCTGATAATGAACGATAATTTACAGTTGTAACATGACAACATTTATGATTTTTATGGTCTTATAGTTATTATTAATGGGGTTTTGATTTTTTAAATGGGTTACTTAATCTTATTGAATACTCCTTTGATCTTTATGTCTGTGTTTTACTTCATCGTCTTGAGATATTTTCATTACTGGTATTGATGGTGCTTAATGTTTCTGATTTTCGTATACTTTTCAGGCTAACGGTCATCGTATACATGGTACAACGCATACTAGTACTCTTCGTTATTTGCGCAATTTACCATCACGCATTGAATTAGTCTTTGCTCGTAAAAAGTCTACATATGAGAATGGAGGTGATGACGTGTTTGGTATTACGGACGGTAAGGATCGGTTGATTGATGTCGCAGGGGAATCACTACTTGAAGTAGCTGCTAGTGAAATTGGTTCTGTAGATACTGGTTCATCTATGAAAATAGTGAATGCTTATGATAATGTTGATCGGTCAATTTATTCTAGTCCAGTATCGCCGGCTACGGCCCATAAACGTGTCACCGAATGGATTCGAAAATCTCAAGGAGATTTAAGTGCGACTATTGACTATTCATCTTCACCTGAATCTTCTGTAACTAAACAAACTAATAATAAATCAGAAAGATTCAATTATTGTGATTTAAAAGTAAGTACTTATTTACAATACATTTACTGAAATAATTTTTGATATTCTAAAGACCAAATTGTCATTAGAAGAAAATATGCATCTCGTCGTAGCTGTATATGTTTAATAGCTGTTATGTCTATCTAGTTAAACTTTAGGACCAACTATTTTCTAACTCCAATTATTTCAACATATTTTACATTTTTTAGATTTGTTTTGATTAACTTTCCATTAATGTTATCCATATAGTGTATTTCCACACTTTTCCAAATACCTGTGAAGCTCATTTTTTAACGATTTCAAACAGAACTATAACATCAGTTACCATATATTCCCTCTTTTCTGTTTTTCGTAGAAACAAGAGACGATTACATTTGCATCGATGCATATATATATATATATATATATATATATATATATATATATAATCATTATAAATTGGATTAAAATCCATCCCATTGCACAAATTAGTGGTTATTGGAAGTCAGTAACTAAGTGGATAGCGCGTTGGTGTTTAGAGCGAGAAGGTACTGGATTTGAATCCCAAAGTGAAAATAAACACTGGGATGTAGGTACATTCAGTTGACGAGTCCCAAACAGGATGAAACTCACGTTCTGAATTCCACTGCTATCCATGTTCCATCTCTTCTGTGTAAATTTGTGTCATAATTAGTACATCGAGGCGATTCACACACATACCAACTAATACTGATCAAATTTTAGTTCACATATTAACAACGGGATAATCCAAACTATTAAAAATTATATTATTATTATTATTATTATTATTATTATTATTATTAAATGATTCCTTGGTCAATATTTACCGAAATAAATTCTTTCATCTAGATAGTTCGGTAGGGATCGAATCACTTATCGATAGTTTTCATTGGTGTGATTAAATATTAGTTGTGCATAAAATGAGTATTTCGGAAACTATTCCTCCGATGTTCTGTTAGGAAGAGGTAACTTGTGGAGTTACCCAAGTTGTGAATGAGTCAGCTACCTACTGATGACTTTGGATGACTATTAGACCATACTGTGAATTGATTGAAGTTAGGATGTGTAGACTTTTGGCTCATGACTTACTAGTTATATCATTTCGTTTTCTTTATTGGAGTGGTTGCTTCGAAGTCCAAAGTCGACTACATACACCTGTACTTATTAATTGGGGTAAGTTAAAATCGTTGCAAGGAATGAAAGTTGCGGGTCCAATGTTATGCTGCGCGACCGTTGGTTAACTGGTGAAGAACTCACTAATAGGGCAGAGTAGCTGTTCTACTCTTTGTTTTTCCAGCTAATGTTAATTTATGATTACAATTGCTTTTAATTGTTTTTTTTTTACCCTCAAGATTGTATTAAACTGTGAAGTTCGTAGTGATTGCTCGGTTGTTAAAGCACTCTGCTTGAAACCAATGAATCACAGGTTTTTTCTTCACTTTGAGCAATCAGCTAGTATCCTCAGCTCTCACACAAAAATATGTGAAACCAACTAAATAGATCTATACTAAGTAAATGTTTTGCTACTTCAAAGATTAAATGTTTATACTAATTAACTTGATTAAATTTAAAATGTACGAATAAAATACAGTTAGAGTGTAGCATAGGGAAAAGCGTAAAGCAACCGCGGCAAATTTCCTGCCAATTCATAGCCTGTCAGAGAACAGCTTTAGTAAGTGGATAGTTTATAGTAAAGAAAGCAATAATATGAAATGTAAACAGACTTTATGTGACCATTAAATCTAGTAGTCTTCTATTGATTACTCTGCGATGTATAAATTCGTCCATGTGAATATAGATTACTTGTCTTCTCGAATTCTCCCGACCGTAGCTGCTACCTTGACGCAGTGGTCGGGCTTGCCTATCGTCATGACACAACCGTCATTCATTTGACCTCACTATATCAAAATAAAGAACCAACTCGATTCACACTTCGTGTATCTGGAGGCCCTGATGCTGTTTCTCATGGCCTCGCCGGCGTAGGTATAGCATTGAGTCCTAGGGCAGAACTAGCTCTCTTCGACTGGATCTCAGTAGACAGTCGTTTGTGCGGCGTCCGACCAAATGGAACAGTAAGGACTCGGAAAGATAGGAACACTTGTCGTTGCCTCTTCGTCGTCTCTGCCTATTCTCCCACTGACTGCAGCTCAGATGATGTAAAAGATGAGTTTTACAGAAAGCTTTCGGACCTTCTCCGAAAAGCTAAGCGCTCTGGTGTTTTAATAGTGGCCGGTAACTTTAATGCTCAAGTAGGTAAGCTAACCGAAAGGGAAAGACACCTGAGTGGATTCTATGGTTTTGTGGCTCAAAGAACAGATAATGGCGACCGTCTGTTGCAGCTATGCTCAGATAACCGCCTGTTTCTTGCAAATACTAACTTTAAGGATAAGGAAAACATCTTTTAACATGGCGACCCCCTAATTCGTCCCAACGTTGGACCCAAATAGATCACATCGCTATCAGCCACCGATGGAGGGGCTCGATAGAAGACTGTCGCTCATTCTGGAGCACATGCTTTGATTCAGATCATGCTCTAGTGCGAGCGCGTATTTGCTTGCGTCTTACTGGACGTAAGAAAGACGCTGCAAGGAAACCTCTTAGGTCCCTACTTAATGATAGTCAAGCTAAGATTATATTTCAGGAACAACTAGGAAAACAGTTAGGCAGCCATGTATGTGATGCCCACCCCGAGGCAGCATGGAATGATATCCGAAAAGCTGTGGAAACAGCAGTGATATCTGCTAGTAAAGTAAACCAGAAGGTTAGGGAGCAACACTGGATCTCAGCAGCATCTATCGCACTGATAGATGACCGGAAACTCATTCCACCTGGCTCTGAACATAATGAAGATCGGAGTCAGCTTAAGCGCAAGCTGACAAAAAGTCTACGCAATGATCGCGAACAGTGGTGGGTAGCGAAAGCAAGAGAGATGGAAAAGGCAGCGGCAATAGGTATTAGCAGACAATTGTTCAGACTTGTTAAGGAAACCGGAATTAGGAACCCGACCGTTAGCGAAACAATCTCAGAGAAAGATGGACATATTATTCATTCTCAATCCAGGAGATTGGATCGATGGGCAGAACACTTTAGGGATCAGTTCAACTGGCCTTCAGCCACACTTCGGTTTCCCACGATCTCTAGTCAACCTGCATGGCAAGTTAATGTAGGTCCTCCGTCCCTTTACGAAGTTGAAAAAGCCATAGGAAATCTGAAACGAGGGAAAGCAGCAGGCCCTGACAGGTTTACTCCTGAAATTTTTAAGGATGGTGGTCCAGTATTAGCAATGAGATTAACCGAGGTCTTAGGTAGAATTTGGGAACTGGACGTAATCCCATCTGACTGGTCTCAATCACTGATTGTGCCAGTCTATAAGAAAGGACAAAAGTCCTCCTGTGACAATCACAGAGGAATCAGTTTGACTAATATAGTGTTTAAAATATTAGCTTCAATAATACTTCGACGCCTAATCAAAGCTCGTGAAGAGCAGACTAGAGAAAACCAGGCTGGTTTTCGACCTGGACGTGGTTGTATAGATCAGATATTCACACTACGTCAGGTTCTAGAACACAGACACACATTCAGACGCCCCACATTGGTAGTATTTCTCGACCTTAAGGCGGCATTCGACTCTGTCGATCGTGAGGTTCTATGGCAGTGTTTGTCACTGAAAGGAGTACCAAAGAAGTACATTAACCTTATAAAGGCTCTCTATTCGAACACAACTGGTAGAGTGAGAGCTTATGGCGAACTGTCATCAGAATTGATTACCTCAAGTGGTGTTCGTCAGGTCTGTCCATTCTCCCCATTCTTGTTCAACTTTGTGGTCGACGTACTTTTAGAGATAACACTCTCCTCATCTAAATTTCCATGGGTTGAACTTCTACCGGGAGATTCACTTGTTGACTTAGAATATGCAGATGACACAGTTCTATTTGGTGAAGTGTTCTGACCACTCTAAGCAACAATGCAAGCATGTCCGGCATGCGATTCAATTAGTGTCGCCATCTTGAAACACCGACTTCAGTGGCTTGGACAAGTTCTCCGAATGTCGTCCCAGAGAATTCCACGTCGTGCATTATTTGCCGACTCTGGGACTGGTTGGAAGAAGCGGAGAGGTGGTCAGTGCATGACATTGTGTCGCGGCATGAAAGAAAGCTGCAAAGGACTGGTTTCTGTTGGCCCTTCACGACTCCCTGGTTTGGGTCTGAGAGATGGTGCTACACAGTGGCTAGAGACGTTATCAGATGAGGCTCAGAATAGAAGCCAGTGGAGATCCTGTTGTAACCTTCTTTTACTTTCTTCATAAAAAGTGGTTGTGTCTCCCTTACCTGAAAGATTTCTTCTGATTGTACCTTTCTGTTCCCTCATTTCTACCATACTACCTTACACCAATCTCCTCGTTATTGTCATTTTTTGCGCTCCTTAGCTTTTGTTTTCTATTTCTCTTCGAATTCTCATTGTTTTGTGTGTCGCATATATATTGGCGCTCTCTTGATTCTCTCCCTCGAAATGCGAAATGTTACTTCAGGTTTGGGTTGCATCGACACCCGAACTAATGATAGGGATTGGAGTAGTTGAGCATGTCGACCGCTTCACTTATCTTGGAAGTCTCATCAGCCCTTGTGGTCTGGTGTGTGACGAAATCTCAGCACGGATACAGAAGGCTCGACTAGTTTTTGCCAACTTGCGTCATTTATGGCGTAGGCGAGATATCCGTCTATCAACCAAAGGACGGGTTTACTGCGCAGCAGTTCGTTCCGTCCTACTTTATGGCAGTGAAACATGGCCGGTAAGAGTAGAGGATATTCGTAGGCTACTAGTATTTGATCATAGGTGTCTTCGAAATATTGCTCGTATATCCTGGGACCACTGAGTACGGGATGCAGTTGTTAGGTATCGGGTACTAGGTAAGAATGGCAAATCAATTGAAGTGGTGAAACTTCATCAGTTGAGATGGCTGGGACACGTGTTACGTATGCCCAACAACTGACTACCCCGATGTGCGATGTTTTATGGTGTAG